AAATCTCAAAAGTATGACACAAAAAATTATAAACAGAGGTTAGAACTTAAAAGTAAGAAGATGAGTCATAGTGGTGAGAATCTAAAGGATCACCGAAAAAAAGTTTGAACTTTTTAGCAGGAATATCCACAAGTCTGACATGGAATTCCACTGAAACAACAAGCTTCTGAGATTTTACTATGAGCCAAAAACAAAAATGAAAATATGAAATATGAATTTGACTAGAAGGGAAATTGAGTTTCCCTTTAAAGAAAACACATTTGGAGATATTTCTTAATAAGGAAATGGAAAACAAGTTGCATAGATTCCAAAGATTCTCTCTTTTGCTTTTTCCGGGAAAACTAACAAGAAAAATAATAATCTATCACAGTCTGAGAACTTTCTCACCATGTTGTTGTTCAATACTATATTAATAATATAAACACCTAAAAGGCTTAAAGGAGCACCCCATAGATTTGCTTCAAAAATACGTTAAGCTTTTTCTGAGATATATAACCAATAAATAAGATAAAAAAAAAGTTTCAAATTAGAGACAAAAGAGCAAAAATCTTCATTTTCCCCAAAGTGGCAATAAGTAACCAATTAAACTCAAAATTTGATCAAGAAACTAAACAAAGCTTAGTGTTTCAGAACTCAGAAGTGGTCTTAATGAAGATCTTTAAAAACAAAAACAAAAAACAGAACCCAGCAAAGGGTTTCTCTTCACTTTGGATCTTCACTTTCTGTTAACATATTCTCAATTTGTGATTGACCAATCAGATTCCTGTTAGATGCATAAATCGAGTTAGAGAGAGAGGTAGACCTTTGAAACAGAGACCAAGAACGCCGGAGAATTAGAGGGAGAGAAAAATATCAGAATCCATAACAAATGAAGAAACGAGATTAAATGGAGAAATCAAGGAAAGGAATAGTATAAATTATTTAATTATTTTGTCTGGTACGGTCTTCTTCTCTCTCTAAACCCTTTATCTTGTGGCAGGAGAAGGACACAGAAGTGGGACGACATTGCCTTTCGTCTTTTGTGGATCATATAAAATCATATACTATTATTAATTATGACATCTTTTATTAACTCTTTAATACTATTAATAATTACATATAAAATCGTATATATACTATTAAAACTCTCCACGATCTTTCTTGATTAAATTTTCTCCACTATCAACTTTTATTAGTATGGTCATGAACAAACCATCTACTAATAGTTTTGTGCAAGTTGATTTATCAATGTTATAAAACTAATAGTTTTGTGCTAGTTAATGCAAGTCAGTTTTAAACAAAAAAAAAAATGTTATAAAACTAATTATTTGGTCAACCATGTATATTTAGTAAATTCACCCAAATCAATAAGTATTTACTCGCGTAAATATTTTGCTTGAAATATAATCGAATTCTAAACTCGAAATTATATTCTGAGTCACGGGTCTTCAACTACTATTTGCAAGTTTTATTGATTAAATTTTAAAATGCGTGTGTTCTCTTTGTCAACAATGTGTGTTTTCAGTTTAGCAAAAAAAAAAAGCAATGTGTGTTTTCAAATAACTCATATATTAGTTTGCTCACTAACCCAAAAAAAAATAAAATTAAACAAGTAACCAAAACTAACTTATGTGTGGCATAATGACATCCATTAAATTTAGGGTAATTAGGTAAATTTTGAATTATATTATTTTTTTGGGTTAATCAACCCAATTTCCCTATAATCAATCTTATAAAAAAAATCATTTAAAAGGAAGGTTTGGTTTAATAATCTAAATTTTTATGAAATTTGAAAACTAACCTATGTTTATAATTTTTTAAAATCATTAAGACAATAGTCCTCTATATATTAAAAAGAAAATATTTTAGGTCATGTTTGCTAAGGTGTCTCACAAAAAAAAATTCAATAATTTTGTATTTATCTATTTAATTCTGCCAAACACATTATAATATCTTGAGAAATTTCAAAAAATGTCACTTTTTAAGGGCCACTTTTTTACAATTTTTACAAAAATGCCACTTTTTCAAAATTATTTATTCATTATATCATTTATGTTTGGGTTAACTATGTTTTATTAGGGTTTAGTTTTGAGGGTTTAAGGGGTTTTAGGAGTCAAAATTTTTTTAGGATTTAGAATTTTGAGATTTAGGCTCTAAAAAATCATAATTAGTGGCATTTTTGCAAATGAACACCAAAAATGGCATTTTTGCAAATGTGAACACAAAAAGTGGTATTTTTGTAAATGTCTCTAATATCTATAAACTTGCATAAAACAATGTAATATTAAATCCTACCATTAAAATTTAACAAAAAGTGAATATTCGCCACATATTAAAGGAGATCATTACATGACATTTTTCCTTAAGTGTCACTCTCTAGGGGTGGAATTATTATCCGGGATCCGACAACCGATCCATTATCCGTTCGGAATCGCTCCGAAAATTAGGATATCCGGGGAGCTCGGATCCGGATAAGGATAGTAAAATCTAGGATCCGTGAAAAGAAGATCCGGATCCGGATCCGGATAACAAATTTTTAAGGTCCGGATATCCGGATTCGGATGCATTAAATATATTAAAAACATATATATTATATATCTATTAAGCTAATTTTATATAAATAAATATATATAAAAAGTGATTTTAGTTTTTTTTATAATAAATTATATTAATAATGAAAAATATCATTTAAAATATTAATTAATAATTTTTAAAAATATATTTTTATTTATTTATGAATTATTTTAATTATTTTTAATATTAATTT